TCGGGGGTTTAAATGGAGAGAAAATGTTTTGAGAAACGATGTACAAATGCGCTTTACACAATTGATGTGTGTATGGATTGGGGTAACAGTTGTATGAGCCCCTAATAAAATGTTAAAAAAAAATATTCAGGACACAATTTTTTTTGTCGGGACAGGTGTTTCTTAGCTATGTCCGCAGACATACTGTTTTCTTGTTCTCTGCTATGAGGCCTCTTGATCCCTGCCCTCTTGGGCAATGTTAGAAAGCTTTTTAGCTCTTCCAATAAATGCCTGAAATGTACCCCATGCCACTATAAGCTTCCGCCCAGAGGTGCATTGCTTTAGCCCCTAAGCTGGCAAACCTAGTTCCCCCAATTACCATATATACTTGAGCATAAGTCAACCCAAATAGCAGCCGAGGCACCTAATTTTACCACAAAAACTGCATTAAAAATGTGCTGAAAAACTCGGCTTATACTCAAGTATATACGGTAAGTGCTTAGTGGCTTCCCATTCTGCCAGTGAACCTCCATTCTGAAGGCATTCAGTTTACTTGTGGACTGGGAAGACCACTGTTCTTTCTCATGCTCTGGGTCTCCTGCTGCAGGTTCTGTACCATTCCTGTGGTAGCACAGCTTTCTGTCCTGGATGTAGGAAGTTCAGTGCATAGGAATTCCAGGGTCCAAAGGATATACTCCACTCCTGGCACTTATTTTTGGATGGTAGCGAGATTCCTTTTTCTTGCTTCTGAGATGGCACATTTTATACCCAAACGGTTGGCAAAATTGATCAATCCTCACGATAGAGTTACAAGATTTTAAAATCACAATGAATCCCGTTAATAGTTACTCACAATTGAGAATGAATATATATATTCCTATTAGCATCTTCCCTCACCTTCTTTAACTCAGACTCATTAGAAAAGATCAAATAAATCTGATCTGCGTAGTCCTATTTTTTGTCATTTGATGGGAGTTACAAAGATAATGTCTAGAAGTTCAGTCATATAAATAATTTCCTGCATTGAAGCTTCATTGGTGCATGGTGCTTTCACTAAGATACTCCACTAAGATTGTTTTGTAGATCTTCGTGTTTTTCACCACTTGATTATTTATTATGTGCCTTATAGGCTGCTTTTCTTGAGTACTAGCCTAATAAAAACTACAGGTCCTCAAGTGCAGTGTACAGTTTGAATATCAGAAGTAGTCTTTTGAAGAAGCTAGTAAGTTCTTAGCAATTATTAATTGTCGGTGTATGTTCAGAATGGAGAAGTGTTTCATATTCAAATGATGTTAAAAACGTGGGGAAATAACTTTTGTTTTCTTTACCTAGTAAATTCTCCCCAAACAGGAAGTACTGTATACACTTCTAGAATTTTAGTGCTTGCAACCATTTCAAAGGGATTTCTAACTGAGTTTGAATAGGCAAACTGTTAGATTTGTTTGATTTTGGAAATATAAATTGTGATCAGAAAATGCCGGAAACTCCAGTTATTCCTTGCACTGCTTACTGTGACAGACAAGTAAGCCATTGTATTATCAGTAGTTTATTTCTGACCATAGAATGAAAATTCATGGGATTGTAGATTTCTCAGTGTTTGATATTAAATGTAAGGGGTATACCATTTCTTAAGCCTTGGTCTACCATTTGATTTGTACCAAAATGAATATGTACTCACAAATACAAACATTTTAGTTTATAATCATAGAAGTTTTTTGCTGGAACTCATGATTGTGTCCTGGATTGAGGTAGTACTTCAAGTTTGATTTTTCCTATAATATCTTTTTGACCAAGCAGTCAGCTAAGATTATATATAATCTGCTTGGTCAAAAAGATATTATAGGAAAGTGAATGAATATAAGTATGCTAGTGTGCATAGTTGTTGTAAGCACTGAGTATAAATATACTGAAAGAATATGTGTGTGTTTTTGTATGGATGAATTGGGGCACTATTTCTGATCCTTACAAACTTCACTGCAAAGGTGGAGAAGTTTATGGTAGAGCACTGGCATTTCATGTTGGCAGCTGTCATTTAAGACACCTGTGCAGTTTTTGGATACCTGGTGCTCAACAGCAAGGGAATGAACTTTGAAGCACTGGAGAACTTGCTGCTTGAAGAGGCAGAAACACTGCTGCAGAAGCAAATTGGAAGGGACCTGACTGCAAGCAGTTTCGATAACTGTGACGGTACGAAACCTTCTCTTTTTGGATTTCTTGGTTATGGTGGGCTTAATGTTTGACTTCTTTTTCCAGATGTTTAACAGTGGATAAGCACTGGGAAAGCCCATGGCAGATTCCTGGTACAACCATTTAAAATGTGGTATCAAATACTATTAATTATATTTCTGGAGAGTATATCTTATCTATTGCTGATTATGAGAAAATGATATCACATATTATTTATATTTTTTAGAATACATTTTTCTGTTACATTGTAAGACAGCTGGTAAAATTTGTTGTTTAAAGAAAAACACATGATAATTGTCATTAAATTTTATAAAGACAGATTATTTTAAATGAAGCCTAACCCCAAGCCAAAGCACATCAGTTGTTTCTGAGTTGGTTCTGACTTGTGGGACCC